AGATGAAAGGAAGAACCCTCCAGTCCCAGTGAGCTTTGGAAATGGTTCTTCACCTTTGATGAAGTTAACTATTTGGCAAAAAAGTGGAAGTAAAAAAGATTCTAGACCTTTTTTCCAGTCCCTTGGGGATAGATTAAACACTTCTTCACGCCATAACAATAATAAATAAAACTCATTATTTAGATGAGTGGATTGTTCTTCCAAGGGTCTCAAAATGGAATGCTACTGGGGGAAAGTTTTTTCCTAGTTTTTTAATTTGGAAGTATCTGAATGGTTAGAGGGAAAGAAACAAACACATCCACAATGACCCTAGAACGTACAGTGGACCAAACAGCTTCACTGAAAGAGTCCTTTTTCTTATAAGCCCAAGTATCTGATAAACCTGTCAACCAACATGAGAAATTTCTCCCTTCTATAGTAGATGGTGGGGAGAAGACGGATTAATTAACTAAATAGCTAACTGATGGGCTCTAGGACTGATCCTTGTTAGAAAGATTCAGGACAGAGTTCTTGCTTGTGAAACTGTACTCTGCAGGTCCATAATGAGACTTGAATGAAGTATTTTGAACCTTTTAATATGATAGTATAGTGGTAGTTTTAGAATGCATTCTGGTTGACCAGGGTATACATGGACATAAATTTTGAAAATCAATTTAGAAGTGTGTACTAAGAGTCCTCAGAAATTCAGGCAACCCAACCTGACTCAGCAATTCCACTTCTGAGAATCCTGTCTTAGGAAATTAAGTAAAATGTAAACAAACTTTTGAGCACAAAATTATTCATGACAGTTATTTATAGTAGCCAACAATTAGAAACAACCTCAACATCTACTAGTAGGATAATGCTAATAAATGACGGTACAAATATTCAACAGTCATCTTGCAGGTGATGTTTACAAGATTTTTAAGAACATACAAAAAATGTTTCTGATCAAACATTAAGTAAAAAGATTAGGATGCAAAAACTCTGTGTGTGTGTGTGTGTGTGTGTGTGTGTGTGTGATGTCCAAACATTGCATATACATACACAGACTTGGAGGAAATACAACAAATGGTAAGCAGTATTTGTCTCTGGTAAGATTCCTTTAATCTTTATTCTCTTTATACATTTTTGTGTTTTCTAACTATTCTACTTTTAGTATTATACTCTCATAAATAAAAAAAAAATTTTACCTTAAATAATCAAAAAAATCGTAAAACTCAAATGATAAAAGTACACAAAGGTGACTCACAACTATTGCTTCTATTTATTCTGGGTTTATTTTTATTTTTATTTTATTTTTTTAAAGAGAGAGAGAGAATTTTTTAATATTTATTTTTTAGTTTTCGGTGAACACAACATCTTTATTTTATTTTTATGTGGTGCTGAGGATCAAACCCACGCATGCCAGGCGAGCGCGCTACCGTTTGAGTCACATTCCCAGCCCTGGGTTTATTAAATAGATAAATAAATGTATGCATTAAGGAATATGTATGTTTACTTTTCAGAATCAACTTAAATTTCTCCTCACAAGATTATAGAAGATGTCAATGATGGGTGTCTTCTATAATAACAACTACCAACTGGCCTGGGAATAGCAAATATAATTGTCCACTCTCCAGAGCAGACCTTGCTGTGACTTTTAATGAGCCACAGCATTAGCAGGGAAATTATTGCTTCAGTCTAGTAAACTTTTTTTTTTTGGGGGGGCGGGGAACGGGTAGTAGAGATTGGACCCAGGAACAATTAACCACTGAGCCATATTCCTCTCCTGTTTTATTTTTTTATTTGGAGATGGGGTCTCACAAAGTTTCATAGGGCCTCACTAAGTTGCTGAGGCTGGCCTGGCAGTTCAGTAAACTTTGACAAGCATGTACTGCGTATTAGTTGGATTGTAGTAGCTGCTTCTGAGATTGTAGAATTAACAAGATGTGACTCCAACCATCAAGAAGTACAGGTTGCCTACGTGAGGCAGACCTGAGTGGGTAATTAGCACAGGTGTGCTAAGGACTTTGATGGAGATACTGCAGAAATGCAGTGGGAATAAAGAAGAGCTATAAATTAATTCAGACCCTCATAGATGGCAATTTTTTTTGGCTTACGTCTAGATTTCTAAATAAAAACAATTCACTTTATTTAGGGAAATATTTTTTTTCAATCTATGGAAACCAATATTCTTCATCCATGAGAATATATTAGTTTTTTTAAGTGTTCAATGGTATTTTATAATATCTTTCTAGGTTTTAAAAATTTTACCTAAGGTGCTGAGAGAACTGGAAATCCTTATGTATCAAAATGAAACTAAACCCCTCTCTCTCACCATACACAAAACTCAACTCAAAGTGGATCAAGGACCTAGGTATTAGATCAGAATGAGCCCAATAGAGGAAAAAGTAGGCCCAAATCTTCATCACACCAGATTAAGCCCCAACTTTCTTAAGAAGACTCCTAAAGCACAAGAAATAAAATCAATAATTAATAAATGGGATGAATTTAAACTAAAAAGCTTCTTCTCAGCAAAAGAAACAATCAATGAGGTGAAGAGAGAGCCTACATTCTGGGAGAAAATTTTGGCTTACGCACATCAGATAGAGCACGAATCTGCAGGACATATAAAATATTCAAAAAACACCAAAAAAACCAACAACCCAAGCAATAAATGGGCTAAGGAGCTAAACAGACACTTCTCAGAAGATATACAATCGATCAATAAATGTATGAAAAAATATTCAACATCTCTAGTAGTCAGAGAAATGCAAATCAAAACTACTCTAAGATTTTTTCTCACACCAGTCAGAACAGCAGCTACCAAGAATACAAATAACAGTAAGTGTTGACAAGGATATGGGGAAAAGGCACACTCATACATTGCTGCTGGGGCTGCAAACTGGTGCAACCAGTTTGGAAAGCAGTATGGAGATTCCTCAGCAAACTTGGAATGGAACTTCCATTTGACCCAGCTATCCCACTCGTCTATATATACCCAAAGGACTTAAAATCAGCATATCATAGTAATGCAGCCACATCACAGCAGCTCAATTCACAGATGCCCTTCAATAGACAAATGGATAAAGAAACTGTAGTATATGTACACAATGGAATATTACTCAGCATTAAAAGAGAATAAAATTATGGCATTTGCAGGTAAATGGATGGGGTTAGAGAATATCATGCTAAGTGAAGTAAGCCAATCCCCCAAAACCAAAGGCCAATGTTCTCTCTGATAAGTGGATGCTTATCATCCATAATGGTGGGGAAGGGCATGGGGAAAATGAAGGAACTCTGATTGGGCAAAGGTGAGGGAGGAAAGGGGAGGGAGTATGGGGGCAGGAAAGATGGTGGAATGAGATAGACATTATTACCCTAGGTAATGACTGCACATATGCTGTGACGCTACTTTGTGTACAATCAGAGAAATGAAAAGTTGTGCTGCAATTGTGTACAATGAATCAAAATGTGTTCTACTGTCATATACACCTAATTAAAATAAATAAATAAATTTTAAAAGTGTTTTACCTAAATATTCACATATATCCTCTACAGCTTCCTTTTAATAATATGGGAACTTGTCTTAACCATCACTTAAGGGCCAAGGACAAGAAGAACAAGACAAAAGCCTCTGTTGACTGACTTTTCTTTTTTACTGCTGTATTCCTATCTGAAAAGTGAAAATGGAAGCAATTTCTGAGCCGGAAGCACTTCTATGTTCAGACACTTTTTCTTCAAGAAACTTTTCTACTGTAGAACTAGTACAGTAGAACTAATGAGGAAGAACTAGTACTGTAGAACTAGTGGGGAAGAACCCACGGGCATTCTAACTGTCCCATGCCCTATTTCTCTGGACCCAGAAAGTCTCTTGCCTGAAAGGCAGGCAGGCATCTTTGGGGAGCTGATATTTCTATTTCTATTAGGAAGCAGGACAAGAGTGATAATTGCTGTCAAAGGCCTGGGGCATCACGCTGACTTAGCTTCTCTCCCCACTTGTCCCTCATCCTCATTAATGTAATTTGGGGGGTAGACAAAGAGGGAAGGAAAGACTCCAGTCCCTTAAGGAGATAATGTTGTAACCTAAGTTTGTGTGACATAAGGCTTGTAAACCTGTATGCACAAGTACCAGAGGACATGGTGTTCTGATACACTCAAGTGTTCAATATTTATGGATAGAGCTAGTAAGAGTTTGTCCATGCAGATTTTTAAAAAGGAGGGAATATTTGGCTTGAACAGGAGCAAAACATGATGTTTATATTAAGTGGAAGTTAAAACTGCTTTATTCAAGTTTGCTTCAAACTCAGAGATTCTAAAGGTCTAGTCTTGGTTTCAAGTGAAGCCAAATTTTGTCATTTTAATGATGCATTTAGGAAATGGGGGGAAATGGAGTAGAATCGAAGTCTTTGGGCAGTATAAACATAAGCAAGATTGTGATGCTTGAACATGGTTTACCATGTCAAAATCTGCCCTAAATATTTTTATTCTCTGTGTGCTCCAGTGTCTGGGTGGTCTGAACTCATCCTGCAGCCTCTGGAAAGGCGCAGTCTCTCTCCCGTCTCTCAGGACTCGAAGCAGTTGCTCACCAGCCATGTTGCACGAACAACATAACCGCCAGATAAACCTCAGAGATACTGCAGACCAATCACTTTAAAACAGTCCAATTAGTTTGAGTCTTGTGTTTAGTTCAAATCATGCCCTCAGAAAGGTCGTGTGAAAACCTCTAAAGAGGATTTGATGACACCATGTTCTCAGAAAACCATCAAGTCCCAGAAACTGAAAACACAGTCTCCTCCTTCCACACCAGAGTTCCAGGTGGGGCCTCCTCCACCACACCACTGGCACCTGGTCAGCCCAGGAGCTAACAGCAATTTGAAAGGAGGTTTCTGAACAGAAAACCCCACTGAGCAAAACTTACTGGGCATTGTGCTGTGAAAACAGTCACACGTAAGCTTTGCCCCAGCTCACAGAGGGCCAGGGACTTGCTCAGCCCGTCAAAGCACCAGTGTCACCAACAGCCTCTGCAATAGCTTTACCTCTGGGCTTCCGTTCTTGCCTGGACCCTGCCATCCACCCCTGCAGCTTTTCCTCACACACCTCCTCCACTTGGGTAAGGGAAGTAAGTCTGTTTCTCCTCCAGAGCTGTTTTCTTCCCCTCCAGTGTCTTCCATCCTCACTCCAGTTAAGGCTGCTGCCTTCTATGATGAGCTGCCCTTGCAAGCCTGAAGAAGGCCTGCTCTCTACCTCTTAAGAAAGACAGGTGCTTTCTTTTGTGGTGTTCACCACCAGAAGAATTCCTCCACCAGATCAAAGTCTGAAAAGGCAAAACATGAACTCTAACAGTTCCCACAAGCTCCCTTTTGATAGGACATGAGATAAGCAAGTAGAAGCACACAGTTTGCAAAACAAGTCTAGCTATTCACAGAATAACTTAGCAGAGAACAGGACTCATCTGTAGACATGGGTTTTCAAAATCTTAAATTATATTTGAATGGAGAAGTCTAAAGTGAGTTTTTCATATTTTCCATGCTCCTAGTGAAACCGTTAGAATCCATGAATGCCTTATGTTTTACATGGAAGGTTTCCCCAAAAGCTCGTGATTGGATTATGAGGTCTATGGTCTAATGGGTGGAATAATCCATTTGATGTATGAATAATTTGAAAAGACCACTGCACTGGATGATAATTTTTAGCAGAAGAAGTGTGGCAGATAGGTTACTGGGCCATAACTTTGGGGTTTATATTCTGTCCCTGGAAGCTTGCTCCCTTTTTGCTTCCTGGCTGCCCTGAGTTGAACAGCTTTCCTCCACCAATTCCTTCCACCATGATGTTTTGCATCATCTCAGACCCAGAGCAACAGAGTTGGCTAACCATGAATTGAACCTGTGAAAACATGAACCCCAAATACATTGTTCTCAGTCATTTTGTCACAACAATGAAAAGCTGACTAATGCACACCTAAAGAAAAAAAAGTCAATAAAATAAAAAATTAATTATTCCATTCCTACTTTTCTTAAAAAATCAATCATCAACTTAAATTACACATTTTTACAGATATCAGTAGGGAAAAGCATTATTTGAGCATGGGCTCCTAGTGAGAAATGATCATCAATAAAGTATGGAGATTTCTTGGAAAATTGGGAATAGAACCACCATTTGACCCAGCTATCCCTCTCCTCGTTCTATAACCAAAGGACTTAAAGACAGCACACTACAGGGACACAGCCACATCAATGTTTATAGCAGCACAATTCACAATAGCTAAACTGTGGAACCAACCTAGATGACCTTCAATAGATGAATGGATAAAAAAAATGTGGCATATATACACAATGGAATATTACTCAGCAATAAAAGAGAATAAAATCATGGCATTTGCAGGTAAATGCCAGTTAAGGCTGCTGCCTTCTATAATGAGCTGCCCTTGCAAGCCTGAAGGTAAATTGATGGTGTAGAGAAGATAATGCTAAGTGAAGTTAGCCAATCCCAAAAAATTTTAGTTTTCTTTATCTATGCCGAATGTTTTCTTTCATATAAGGAGGCTGATTCATAGTGGGGTAGGGAGAGGGAGCAGGGGAGGAATAGACGAACTCTACATAGGGCAGAGGGATAGGAGGGGAAGGGAGGAGGCATGGGGTTATTAATGATGGTGGAATGTGATGATCATTATTATCCAAAGTAAAGGTAAAAAGACATGAATTGGTGTGAATATACTTTGTATACAACCAGAGATACGAAAAATTGTGCTCTATATGTGTAATAAGAATTGTAATGCACTCCTCTATCATATATAAATAAAAAAATATAAAAGAAAATTAAGCCCAATGCTTCTCATATCCAAGGAACTATGACAGAAGCTGAAAGGTAACATTCAAGACACACTTTGATATCCACTTAAGAAACAATTGTAATAAAGGTTGATTATCTGATGCTTAACTTTAGCTAAAAAAAATGCAAAGAAGACTGGCTTGTCAGTTTGCTGGTGGCCAGTGCAGAAGTTGATCCGAAGGGGATATGGTCTGATGTTAGTGCCTCTCCTTTCTTCCCTTTCTTCCTTTTTTCCCTTGATCATTAGTTCTAAACAATGGTGCTTTTGGTACCATTCAACTATTTCAGAACTATGTAGCATTATAAAATTATGGAACTAATGTATCCATCCCAGCTTCTAGTTAGTAATCCAACTATGATAAATGTCTTACTGTAAGAAAACTGTAATAACCATGCAGTTCCAATCTTTTAATTGCCCTTTATCTCACCTAGAGAAGGTAAAAATGTAGGAAATGTTCCTGGGCTGGATTACCCTGTCCTCCCTCCAAGCTCTCTGCAGAAATACTTCTGGTTCTAATCTCTCTGGGGACTCATCTCTGACACTGTAACTTAAGCCTTTTCAAGATCCTTGGGCAGACTTTCATTCTAGGACAATTTTTCTCAGTTATATATTGAACTTCCTAATTTATGATGAAGTCCAAAACATGAGCAAAGATGAAGAATCAAATTTTAGTTTTCTTTATCTATGCATGATCATTTCCCCTGTCCTTTATTGCCTTCCCTGGAAATAATGACTCCATGTTCTTGAAGATTCTCCTCTCCTTTGAATATCTGTAGGACCTTAACACTGTACCCACACCATGGGACTTTATATAGCCTAAAAAACAAAACAAAAACAGTAGACACAACCCCCCAACATTAGTCTGCTACTGCAGAAAGGAGAAATTCTAACCAGCACACCCTGAATGACAACTCACACTGTTTAGATGATGTGCACCATCACCTGCAAAGGACATTCTCACCAGTTAGAAGCTTAATTCAAAAACTACTTGCCTTAAACCACTTTTGACACTGCATTGCACTGCCTCTGCTTTCTGGCAACTACCATCCTTTCTACTCATTTTCTGCTGCCATCCTCTTTCTATTCCTAAGAACTTATGCTTAACCGTCTTCAGGGTACCACTTCATACCCTGGTGATTTAGGCTGGTTCTTCTCCAGTTATGTTACTTGGGTGATGATTATCTTGCTTCTCCTGGTAGCCTGGGACCTTCTTTGATCTGTGTCATCTTCTAGGCACCCAGACCTAGCAAATGAAACCTGAAATTAAAAAAAAAGATTATGAATTTATATAAAAGGACAGTGGGGCTCTCTTATTTAGCATAATCAAGACCAGATAATCCATCAGTTCATTAAAACTCAGTGAGTACAGAAGTACTGGGTGCACCAGAGAGCAAGCAGCCTTCTAACAGCAAGTGCATGAAGGTAGGGACCACAACCTATGAAGAGGGAATGGTGACTGCTAGTTAAGCTCGAGTTGATTGAGTAGGGGTAGTCAATAAAGCCTCTAATCTTTAATTTCTTTATAATACCCACCAAGATTGACCTGCTAGCCTAGTAAGAAAAAGAAGATAGAAAACGTAAGATTTAAGTTGAACAATCTACTTAAACTTTAGACTTTCCCAGAGGCAGCAAGTTCAAGGAAGCAGCTCCTTCAGAAACTGCATTCCACTTACTCAGGACTCAGAATATCTTATGAAAATTGTCAGTGACCTTGGCTGAGGATTTTCATCAAATGCAGATGTTAAGCACAAAGAATTCAAATCCAAATCCCAAAGCCCACGGAACATGCATAATAGAAGTCCTGGACTACTAGTAACTCAATAATAGCATGGTATGATTGGACCAAATCACAGAGATAATTGCAACTTGGGACGTTATTTGTTCATCTATTTGAAATCTTGGAAGGGACTCTGTGCCGCACAGTAAGAAGGCTCTGAGTCTACGCCCTCTCCGTTGTTTGGACAGTGCCAGCCACAGCATGTTTTAACAGCACTGTTGCTAGCTAGGTGCCAATGTGGTTTCACCAGCAAGTGTGGGCAAGGATGTTTTTTAAAAACCAGAAGAATTGCTGCCAAACTAGGGAAACAACTACTAAATCTATCTCCTCTTGAAAAAAAATATTCTGTATTCGTTCTTGGTGAATCTGTATCAAAAGCCATCTTGTCAAAAGCATACTTAACTCCAGGGCCTGACTGAGAAGCCCCTGGCAGGGCACCCAGACCTGTGATCAAAGTATCAAGTAATCTCCCCGATCCCCTTTTTTGGTTCACATACAGCCCTGGCCAAGCAACAACGGGAGCAAACTCAGAGGAAATTGAGGCCCTGAAAGGAGACGCAGGTAAAGATGGACAGCCTGGGAACAATCACCCGCTGTGTGAAGAACATCTGTCATTAAAGGGGCTTGTTTCTGAAGTTTTGTTTTTAAGCAAAAAGGAAGGAAGAGGACGAAGAGTGGAGATGCAGAAAGCCAAATTCATAAGTATTTGTGTGATTATAACTACTAAAAAGTATCCGTAAATCCTATCAATACATATGCTACCTTCTTCCTCTACTCCTAGCCTATGACTAGATGATTTGCTTCTCAAGAATGAGGACATTACCTTTTCAATCTTTGCCCTTCCAATGCTTTACATATTACTCCACACAGGGCAGCTCCTCAGCAAGGGCCATCTGGCAGAGCAGACAAGAGCAGGGTCTGCAAGCAGACGACCTGAGTTCAAATCCCAACCTCCAACCACCTCGAGCACATCACATGGCCTGTCTGCTCCTTGCTTTCCTCAATGGAATGTTAATCACTCAGACAAAATGATTCCTGAGTAGTAAGTTGTAGTAGGTGCTTAATAAACATTGGCAATTATTATTAACTAACTACAACTCACTACTCTTTGTGTACAAGGATCCCCATGACACACTGGTTCCTGGAAGAAAGGACTGTAACATGGAAATGGAATTCTCGGTTAAAATGATATTGGAGCACGAATCATCTGGAGCCATCAAAGTTAGGTTCCCAGAAATAATGGATGGAATGAATGGGGAAAACTCCTACAAACTAATAACCTGAGCAGCAGGCCAATTGTGCATCTGCAGACCAAGTGGACAGTATCTTGACATAGATACAGGAAACCTAAATTGCAGTCTAGCTCTTCCCTTAACTGGCTACATGGTTTTGGTGTTATCACTTGTCCTCTCTGGACTTCAATGTTTTTATATATGTAGTGAGAACATTGTTATTGAAATGCCAGACACTAGAATTTCCTGCTGTGATAGAATGCTTTATATCTGCCCCTGTCATTATTGAACACTTTAAATGTGGTAAGTACCACCAAGGAACTGTATTTTTAGTGTGTGTGTGTGTGTGTGTGTGTGTGTGT